GTTAATTTACAACAGAAATATGTTAAGTTACAGTTATTGTGGACGGATTTACAGTAACTTTGATAAAATTAAAATAATTAAGCGTATATTTACTACAGTTTAAGATTAGTTATAACACTAATGCACAAAGTTACAAGAGTGTAGGCAAAACTTACTTCTATATTGGTTAAAGTTATAGTATATGTTGGCAATGTTACAAACTTAAAGGTAAATGTACATCAACGATAGTATCCTTACCCCAAATGGTCGCAAATTCGCTCTAAATACAAATAACATCATCCAAAATCATAATAATATTACACTAAAAGTTGTAATATCACCTCTAACAGTGATAACATTATTTCACACGGTAGTAAAATTACTCGAAAAGTGGTAATTTCACCTTAAATTATGGTAAATTCACATAAATCATTGTAATATAGCATTCCAAACGATAGTATTTTTGATCAAATTAAAATTCAATTTATCAAATTAACTAAAAGTTGATATCAACGTTTAAATTCATTAAATTAATATTTAATTCATCAATTAATACCAATTTAATATCGAATTCATCCAACTAACCATAAAATTCATCAAATTAACATTCAGTTCATCCAATTAATATTAATATTTATCCAATTAACATTCAATTTCTCAAATTAATATACAAAATCATCCAATAAACATTCAATTCATCAAATCAATATCAAAGTACCATGCAATTTCATCCAATTAATATTCAATTCATCTAATTGATATCAAATTAACATTCAAATTCATCTAATTAGCATTAAATTCATTCAATTAATATTCAATTTTATCAAATTAACATTCAATTTATTACATTAACAATAAATTACATTCAATTCATTAAATTAACAAAAACTTATCAATCAATTCATCAAATTAAAATTCAAATTCAACTGGTGAAGAGTAAATTTATTAAATTAACATTCAGTTTGATCCAATTAATATTTAACTCATTAAATTCATCCAATTTAGATTCAATTTTCTTTAATTAACAATCAATTCATCAAATAAATATTCAATCATTAATGTTATTAAGACATAATTGATCCACAATCATTGACAATCAATTTTATCTAATTAACATTCAATTTATTAAATTGATATTCAAATTCAATTGACTAACATCAAATTCATAAAATTAACATCCAAATTTGCTCAATTAATATTCAATTCATCCAATTTATATTCGAATTCACCCCATTATCACTCAATTCTTGAAATTAAACTACAAAGTCATCTAATAAATATTTAATTTGTCAAATTGACACCAAATTAACATTCAATTCATCAAATTAAAAATCAAATTAACACACAAATTAATTTAATTAGCATTCAATTTATCAAATTAACAATAAATTATAACTCAAATTCATCAAATTAACACAATTTCATTTAGTTAATATTCAATTCATCAAATTAAAAAAAAAATTAACTAGTTATCATTAACTTCATCAAATCAACATCCAAATTAATATTCAATTTAATCAGATTAATATTACATTCATAAAATTAACACTAATTTAACTTTTAACTCATCCAATTTATATTTAATTCATACAATTAACATTCAATTGATCAAATTAACATAAAAAATCAACTAATAAATATCAAATGATCATTCAATTTGTTAAATTGACAACAAATTAACATCCAAATTCATATAATTATCATTCAATTCATCAAATTAATATTTAGTTTCATTCAATTAGCATTCAATATAGCAAATTAATATTTAATTTTACCCAATTAACATTCAATACTTCAAATTAATAAGGAATTAACATTCAGTTCATCAAATTAACAAAACTTATTATTGAAGATGAAATTGAATTTAATACAAAGTTGAAGATGGATTTGATGCTAATTTCATAAAATTTTGGTGTCGATATAATGAGTTGGATCTCAATTGGATTAAATTGAATGTTAAATTAATGAATTTTAATGTTAATTTGATAAAATTAATTATTAATTTGATGAATTGAATAAATTTAAATGTTAAATTCATAATTGTTATTGTTCATTTAATAAAATTCACGATCAATTTGGTGTTAACTTGATTAAATAAAGTTGAAGGTGAATTTGATGAAATTGATGATAAATTTGGTGTTGATTACTGAATTGGATTTCACATGGATGAAATTAATGTTAAATTTATGAATTTTGAATTGATAAGATTGAAGGTTAATTTTGTATTAATTTAATGAATTTGATTAAATTTAAATTTAGGAATTTCATTGTTCATTTTGTAAAATAGACGGTCAATTTGGCATTTATTTGATAAAATTGAATTTAATACATAAAATTAAAGATGAATATGGCGTGAATTTGAATTGTTGAAATCAGATATTAATTTGGAGTTGATTTAATGAACTGAAAAAAATTTGGATGAAATTGAATGTTAAATTCAAGGAGTTTCATTGTTAATTTAGTAAAATTGACGGTCAATTTGGTATTGATTTGATGAAATTGAATTTTAATAAATAAAATTGAAAGTGAATTTAGTGTTAATTTGATAAAAATTGAATTTTAAATTTATGAAATTAAATGTTAATTTGAGTTTAATTTGATGAATTGAATCTCAATTGGGTTAAAATAAATATTTAATTCATGAATTTTAATATTTATTTAACAAAAGTGGTGGTCAATTTGGTGTTAATGTGATTTTTTTATTAATTTGGTGAAAAGTGAATTTTGAATTTGAAAATTAAATATTAATTCGAAATTAATTAGATGAGTTTGAATGTTACAATCTTTTGGTGTTGCAAGCACCATTTGGACTATAGAAAAGTTAATATTATTATTTTTTATCTCTAAAATGTTTATGATCTATCGCAATGTTACTGTAGTCTCCCCCAAAAGTAGTTTTTTCACCCAAATTTAGTGAAGTTGAATGCTAATGTTAATTTAATAAAATTGGTTTTAAATTTGGTGTTAATTTGGTCAAATTAAATGTTAATACACATAATTGAAGGTAAATTTGGTGTTAATTTGATGAAATTGAAATTGAAATTGAAATTGTGGTTAATTTGATGGATTAGATCTCAATTGCATGAAATTAAACATTAAATTCATAAATTTTAATGTTTATTTCATAAAATTGGCGGTCAAATTGGTAACCCCATTGTATTTGAAAGTGTCTCAAATCTCTAGAAAACTCACCAAATGATCGGTTGGATCGTCATTAGGCAAACCCCCAACAATTTACGTGCAAGTATACACAATTAATAAGTAATAAAGTGATAAGTAGAGTATCATTTTCACCAAGAATTATTACTAACAATTTTCAAGTACTAACTTTATATCAATTCAATTTTATTTAAACAATTGAAATTACTAATTTAAAACAAACTTTAAAATTACTAAACAAAGACTGTTTTCACCAGATAAAAGAATTTAAGATTACAATTTTCTCTAATGCTTTGTATAAATCTTTTCACTCTCCTCTAAGTTAATTAATCCAAATAAGATGATAACTGAGAATTAAAAATTATTTATTAAACCTATTCTGATTGTTAGATAAAAATATCTCTCCCAATTATATCATTTTATTCCTATGCAATATAAATTGAAATAGATTTATTAAACTCAAAGTCTCGTAAAAGTATCACACGGCATATATGTATATTCATATCCTATACACAAACCCAATTATTCAATCTTAAAAATAAATAACTAGACGCATGTTATCATATTTAGATCCAAAACCCTAGAAATCATATTTCAATTTCATCTAGGAAATCAAATTAATTGTTGGTTAAACAATCATATATTAAACACAAAATATGATAAACAATTTATATATAATCAATAATAACTAAAAAATGAGAGTAAATTAATTCAACTAAATATTAGGTTCCATTGCAATCTTAATAAAAATTTAGTTCATAACGTAATTGAAAAACATCATAATCAAATTAATCAACATTTTTAAAAATCAAAAACTAAAAGTAAGAGAAAAAAATAAAAACTATGTTGCCATCTTCAATCTCTCTCTGGGCCTCAATTCCGATCTCCTTCGCGTTTCTTCCTTTGATCACTACCTTTAGTTCACTCTCAATCCTTGGTTCTTTCTTCGCTAGTAGCCCTTGTTAACAATATGTATATATCTTTGCTTAAAACCCTAACATGTGTGTAGCGTGAGAGTTTAATTTCTACTCAAAAACAAGTTAGAAATTTGTCCTCCATGCTGAAGCCCGTGTTGTAGCCCAGCAAAATAGCGCAACAGCTCTGAAATTCTGCACCTATAGCGCTGTAGCTCTAGAACTAGAGCTACCGTGCTGATCACTTTCCATGCGTACAACTGTTGCTCAGTCTTCACTTAATCCAAAACTTAGGTTGTTAAATGACCTTTTTTTCCTTTTAAATTATGATCCCTACAAAACAAAATTAAAACACACAAAACGAATAAAAATAAACATAAAAAACTTAGAAACGCGCAATTTTATTAAACCAAAAATACTCAATTCGTAAAAATAAAACCCACTCATCAAAGAGTAATGGATAGTGATTATATATTACACGTCTACATACCCCAAGAGATTTAAGTGTCGTATGTTAAATGTAAAAGGTCTAAATAATTAAATAACATATTTTAGAAAGTCCCAACGTAATTTTACCAGAAAATAAATGGATTTTACGTAGACAAATCCCCAACAAAAACATGAATACTCAACAAATAGTCAAATCTTTGTTCAAAAAAAACAAAAAGTCAAATCAGAAAAGTATAAATTTCCAAGAACGCTTTCGTTATTTGGGCTCGTAAAATGAGACTCAATAGCTTGTAATTGGGTTGAGTAACTTGGGTAGACCGTGGACCCTCATTATGGGCCCCAAGGAAGCACAGGGTCACGTTGAGGCCCACCTTTAACCTTCGTCTTTCCCAACGGTTTTCAATAAAATTCAAATTCAAATTCACCCTCCTCCGGCCTCTCTCTGTCCCTCTCTCTCACGCGCAAACACACACGCCCTCAGACTGAGAGTCCTCTCCAATGGCGACCCCGGACGGCTTCCTAACAACACCCACCAAAACCCCAACAGCGGAAAAAACCACCTCTTCCATTTCCAAAAGGAACCCCCACCAATCATCAGGAGACCCTTCGAACCGATCATCTACTTTGGCTTCCGAATTCAAGAACCGATTCGAAGCCTACAATCGGCTCCAGGCGGCCGCGGTGGCCTTCGGAGAGAAGCTCCCAATCCCCGAGATCGTCGCTCTCGGTGGCCAATCCGATGGCAAAAGCTCTCTGCTCGAAGCCCTTCTCGGGTTCCGTTTCAATGTTCGTGAGGTCGAGATGGGCACCAGAAGGCCTCTCATTCTCCAGATGGTCCACGATCCTACAGCATTGGAGCCACGTTGCCGGTTTCAGGTTTTTTTAATATAGAATCGATTGTGTTGGTTCATTACCAATTAGTTTTTTAGGGTTTCATTGTTGGATTTGAGTGCAAAAAACACTAAGTTTGAGTTTTTAACAGGAGGAGGATTCAGAAGACTATGGAAGTCCTATTGTTTCAGCAACATCAATTGCGGATACCATAAAATCACGAACAGAAGCACTTTTGAAGAAGTCTAAAAGCGCAGTTTCTTCTAAGCCAATTGTGATGAGAGCTGAATATTCCCATTGTCCTAATCTCACCATCATTGACACTCCTGGATTTGTTCTCAAGGTAAATAATCTAAGAAGTTAGATAAGGGGTGAATAAAAAGGAAATGTTTTTTTAGTTTTAAGATATTTTGTGTCTATTTGCATTGTGGTCATGTCTTGAAATTTGATGGGCAGGCAAAGAAGGGTGAATCAGAGAACACACCTGATGACATACTCTCAATGGTGAAGTCATTGGCTAGTCCGCCCCATCGTATACTTTTATTTCTTCAACAGAGTAGTGTGGAATGGTGCTCTTCTTTGTGGTTGGATACCATTCGCGAAATCGATCCAACCTTCAGAAGGACAATAGTTGTGGTCTCCAAATTTGATAATCGGCTCAAGGTACAACTGCACAACTTTGACTGGCTGATGGTATAATATATAGTAAAATGCAATGGAGAATAAAGTCTATCAACTAAAGGATATATAGTGCTGTTCCATTGCATTATTAGTCACATTACTGGAAGGCCTGTGCATCATTATGCTACTGTACCCATTGCAACCACTGGTCCATATTTTTTGTACTCTATTGTTAGTTCGTGTCAGCACTTGATACTAGACAAACTTAAAGTTCCTGTTTTTCGTTCTGAGAATGAATTATCGCATATAAAAGTATAATATCAAACAATTTTATTGTGGCTTTTGCTATATGAAGATGATCAATGCCATGTCCCCTTCTGCCACTTAAGTTTCCTTAATAATTCAGGTGGACTTGGGGATCATTATGTAGTCTATGAAATGATGAAGTGATTCTTGTCTGTTCGATGGTCCCTGTTGATATCTTCTATTAGAGAGGTAATTAAAGACTTTTCTGACTTTGATAATTTACTCGTATAGGAGTTTAATGACCGGTGGGAAGTGGATCGGTATCTTAGTACAAGTGGGTACCTTGGAGAGAACACTCGACCATATTTTGTGGCCCTGCCAAAAGAGAGAAGCACAGTTTCAAATGATGTATTCCGTAGGCAGATATCTCAGGTGGACGCAGAAGTATTACACCATCTGCGTGATAGCGTTAAAGGAGGGTTTGATGAAGAAAAGTACAGGTCCCATATTGGGTTTGGCTGTCTCAGGGATTATTTGGAATCTGAGCTTCAAAGGCGATACAAAGATGCTGCACCAGCAACACTGGCTTTGCTTGAACAGCGGTGCCGTGAAGTCACAGCTGAGCTAGCCAGAATGGACTCCAAAATACAGGCCACGTCTGACGTTGCACACCTTCGGAGATCTGCTATGTTGCATTCTGCTTCTATCTGCAGTCATGTGGTTTGTAATAGTTGACAAATTACCATTTTATTTAAGATCCTTGAAACCATATACCTAAATATGCTCAAAATTATGAGCATAATTTTTTAGTCCCCTTGCATTTTTTCTGTCGAGCATGTAACTTTTGAGAGTTCGAATTTTTTAACTCGTGGTTTTTCTTGTATGATTGATAAAGGGGGCACTAATTGATGGGGCTGCTGATCCTGATCCAGTGCAATGGGGAAAAACAACAAAGGAGGAGCAGTCAGAGAGTGGCATTGGAAGCTGGCCTGGCATTACAGCAGATATAAGAACTCCCAATGCCACACTTCGTCTCTATGGGGGAGCTGCTTTTGAAAGAGTGATTCATGAATTTCGCTGTGCTGCATATTCCATTGAATGCCCCCACGTATCAAGGGAGAAGGTAATTAATTGCAAGGCAATTCCTGGGTTAGGAGGATAGAGTATTCGAATTTGACAATGTGTTACAGGTTGCAAATATATTACTGGCCCATGCTGGCCGGGGTGGAGGTAGAGGATTTACAGAGGCTGCTGCTGAGGTTGCACGTGCTGCTGCCCGGTCATGGCTTGCTCCTCTTCTTGATACAGCATGTGATCGGCTTGCTTTTGTTTTGGGGAACCTCTTTGATCTTGCTGTTGAGAGAAATCGCCACCATGACTTTGCCTGTATGGAGTTATCTACTTTCCCCCCTTTTCAGATCTTCCCTTTGTCGATTGTCTTCTTCTGTTTAGTTAGAGGATTTTGAACTTTAAACTATCAACTTGAACCATTTATAATTCTCTTTTGATAAGTTAGCTTTTGGAGATTGTCAGAAACAACATTAAGTCTAAGTGGAAACACTTAGTGCTTCAGTAAGTAAATGCACCTGCTTGAGTATCACCTGGTTTGTGGTATTTTGTGTCAAGTTTAGGTACATAAACTGAATCTCATTGGACTCTGTTAAGTTTAGAGGATTAACACAATATTAGAGAGAAACAGAGATAGATTAAAAACATAACCTAGCTCTCATACATCACTTGTGTTTATAGTTAACTCACAATAATAAAAATTACACATAATACCCTAACACTATTAACAATTTACACATACTACCCTAATACTTTTAACACTCCCCCTCAAGCTAGACTATATATATCATATAATTCAAACTTGAAACAAATAATTGTAAGACATGTACGACTCAATGCTTTGGTAAATATATCAGCAAGCTGATCTTCAGATTTCACAAATGGAGTCGTAATCTCTCCAGCTACTATCTTGTCCCGAATAGAGTGACAATTAACTTCAATATGCTTGGTTTTCTCGTGAAACATAGGATTGACAGCGATATGGATAGCTGCTTGATTGTCACAGAACAACTGTAAAGGAAGTTGAACTGGAAATTTAATTTCCTGGAGAAAGTGTAGTAGCCAAGTCAACTCATTCGTCGTATGTGCCATTGCCCTATACTCAGCCTCAGCACTAGATCTTGCTACTACGGGTTGTTTCTTATTTTTCTATGAGACAACATTACCTCCTAAAAAAGTATAATAACCAGTAGTTGATCTGCGATCAGATCAGAAGGAGAGCCAGCCCAATCAGCATCTGAGAAACCTTACACTCTAAGATGTCCATTAGCTCGATATAACGGTCCAAGTCCAGGACTCGTTTGAGATATCGTAGAATACGAGTAACTGCCTCCCAATGTGGTATTCTAGGACACCCCATGAATTGTCTTACTATACTGATTGCATAGGAAATATCCGGTCGAGTAATAGTAAGATAATTAAGTTTTTCAACCAATCTGCGATACTGACCTAGATTCTCAAACAATGCACCATCATCCATCAATAATTTCTGATTCAGATCCATAGGAACATCAATCGGTCTACCACCCAGCAAACCTCCTTCTTCAAGCATGTCAAGTATATATTTCCTCTGGGATAAACAAATACCTTGTTTAGATCGAGCCACCTCAATACCCCAAAAATATCTGAATTTTTCTAAATTCTTAGTATGAAATCGATCCTGTAAGAATATTTTTAACTTGACAATCTCCTCAGAATCATTCTCAGTAATCACAATATCATCTACATAGACCACCAATAAGACATATCCAGCTTCTGTTTGTCTATGAAACATAGAATGATCTATTGACATTGAAGAAGACCAAACTCTAAAATTGCATCTGAAAACTTACTAAACCATGCTCTAGGTGACTGCTTCAAATCATACAAAGATTTCTTTAACCGACATACACTCTTACCATACTTCCCCTGAGCAATAAACCCAGGTGGCTGCTCCATGTATACCTCTTCAACCAAGTCACCATGTAGGAAAACATTTTTGATGTGTAACTGAAACAAGAGCCAATCAAGATTAGCAGTCAAAGAGATCAAGATACGAACAAAATAAATTTTGACAACAGGAGAAAAGGTCTTCTCAAAATCAACACCATAAGTTTGAGTAAAGCCCTTTGCAATAAGTCGGGCTTTGAGACGCTCCATAGTACCATCTGGATGAAATTTAACAGTATACACCCAACGACGGCCAACAGTTCGTTTACTAGGGGGTAAAGGAACGAGATTCTAACTTCCATTATGATGTAAAACATTCATCTCCTCTTTCATAGTTTTCCTCTAACCCGAATCAGATAAGACATCCTGTAAATGCTTAGGAATAGATATAGCAGATAATTGGGAAGTAAAATAGAAGAAGACAGGAGACAAGGCATCATATGAAACAAAATGAGAAATGAGATGATTAGTAACACACGAACGAGTACCTTTGCGAAGAGCACTAGATAAAGAGTCTAAATTACTTAATATATCAGGATCAGAAGGCGGCAAGGAAGACGGTACGGGCACTTCAGTCGATGGGCTAGTACGGCGGGAGTAGACACAGAGAGGTAAAGTAGATGGTAACACATTAAGCAATGGAATGTCTGAAGATGAGGAAAGAGATGGTAGTACAGGAGATGATTCAAAGTCCAGATCCAAAGGTTGAGAAGGTGCTAGAAAGTATAGAACAGATTCTTCAAACGTGACATCGGCACTAGTAAAGTATCGGTACAAAGAAAGATTGCAACAACGATATCCCTTCTGCATGCGGGAGTAACCAAGAAATACATATTTGGTAGCTCGAGGGTCAAGCTTATCAAATCTAGGATCCAAATTGTGAACATAACAGACACATCCAAAAATCTTAGGAGTCAAGGAAAATAAAGGCTTATTAGAAAAATGACAGAATATGAACTTTGCCCATTTAACATAGAGGATGACATACGATTAATAAAATGACAAACAGTAAGAACAACATCATTCAAAAAATATCAGAGAATATTCATCTGGAATAACAGGGCACGGGTGACTTCCAACAAATGACGGTTCTTACGTTCAGCAACACCATTTTGTGGAGAGGTGTAAGCACAAGAAGTCTGATGAATAATGCCAGCTTTACTAAGATAAGTTGAAAAAGGATCAGATTCATATTCCCGAGCATTATCAGAACGTAAAATACGAATACGACACCTATACTGAGTATTTATTTTCTTACGAAATGTCTCAAATATAGAGAATAATTCAGACCGAGCTTTCATCAGAAACAACCAAGTTACACGAGAATAGTTATCCACAAATGATACAAAATATGGATATTTATTAGATAAAATATTCTTTAGTGGACCCCATACATCAGAATGTACCAACTCAAATGGACTAGACACACAATTATTGACTCGAGATTGAAATGACAAACGGTGATGCTTATTAAGTTGACAAGCTTCACAAGATAAAGACGACACAGAAATAAGACTGAGAATTTGACGTTTCAGATTTTGGAGAGAGGGATGTCCAAGACGACAATGCCACTAAAAAGGAGATAATGAGGTCTGTAGAGCCCGAGTAGGTAAATCAAAATCAAAGTAATATAGGCCACCAGCTTCATGTCTTGTACCAATCTTCTTCTTCTTCATCTTAAGATCCTAAAAGACACAATAAGAAGGATAAAAGGTTACAGAACAATTGAGAGAACGGATAATCTTGCTAATGAAAAGTAAATTAAAAGAAAACTAAGGAACAAATAATACGGAAGATAGGGACATATCAAGACTCAAGTTAGTAGTCCCCAAACCTGAAACTTTAGAACAAGTGTCATTAGCAAGAGTAACACTACGTGTGGAGGTAGAAGACTAATAAGTAGAAAAAATATCAGACGCACCAGTCATGTGATCAGAAGCGCCAGAGTCTATGATTCAGAGACTGCAATTAGAGAACAATAAACAAGTAGAAGCAATACCTAATTGGACAAAAGTAGTAGCAGAGGGAGATGGAATAGCCTGTTGCTGAGATAGGAACTGGGCATACTCCTCTCGAGTAATAGGATAGTAACCAATCCAGTGTCTTGCTTGGGTTCCATAACAGTGCAGCAAATAACAAACAAAGAGTGCTGCAATACTGAACCAGAAGAAAAGACGAGGCTGAAGGACTGAACCGGATAGAATTGGACTTGATAAGGTTGTTTGAAGACTGAACCGGACTGCTAGAGTACTGAATCGGACCACTAGAGACTGCTGGAAGTTGAACCGGACCACAGGAGCACTAAACCTAACTGGAAAAGTAGTTAGACCACTGAACCGGACCCTTCTTACTTGCTGGAATGCTGAACCGTGTTGGAAAACATGGCAGAACCACTGAACCAGACCAACAAAGCTCTCTGGACCGCTGAACCAGACCCCTTCTACTTGCTGGAATATTGAACCGGACCAATAAGGCCCTCTCTGAACCGTGATTCGGTTTAAGATGAACCGTGGTTGGACCGGGATTGGACTTAAAACAATTTAAGTCAGCTTGACCCGATTTGAACCAGATCCAAAACTCGGGTTGGATTCTGTCTTCTTCTTCGCTAATTAGGGTTCCAAAAAGGATCCTCTGGTCTGCGACATAGCACACAGTACACACCACAATCAATGAAGGACCCTCTGGTCTGTGACACAGCACACACCACAAGCAACGACCACCACTGCCACCGTCTGTGACATAACACACAACAATAAAGGACTCTCTGGTCTGCAACACAGCACACACCACAAGCAACGACCACTACTGCCACCGTTTGTGACACAGCACACAACACACACCAGAAGCGACGACCACCACTGCCACCACACACCATAGCCACAACCACTACAATCACACCACTACCACGAAGAGTACTACTCGACACACCACACACCACAAGTGACGACCACACGATGAACACAGACCACACCACAACAGTGTTAATATATTTAGGATCGTTTGTGCTCTAATACCATGTTAAGTTTAGAGGATTAACCCAATATTAGAGAGAAACAGAGATAGGTTAAAAACATAACCTAGCTCTCATACATTACTTGTATTTATAGTTAACTCACAATAATAAAAATTACACATAATACCCTAACACTATTAACAATTTACACATACTACCCTAATACTCTTAATAGACTCTAATATTCTGTATGAAAGCCAGAAATTTAATGTGTGGTTTTCTTAATATGGTCTGCATGCTCTTGGTCATAACCCCATGACAGACAAAAGATACCATATTGAACCTGTATATCTTTACAAAAATATTATCTTAAACAACTCCAACCCACTGATTGCCTTGAAATTTTATCTTGTGCAAGTGTAATGGTCATTTTTCCTGCTTTTTTGGTTACTTTGTCAGCTTGCCACATTGTTGCCCATAATTTTGTTTATAGTTTAGAGGGCTATCATTTTATTCTGCAGGTGGGAGGAAAACAGGAGATATGGATGGCTATGTTGGTTTTCATGCTGCTTTAAGGCACTCCTACAATGGCTTTATAAATGATCTTGCCAAACAGTGCAAGCAATTGGTTCGGCACCATCTTGATTCGGTTACAAGCCCATATTCTCTGGTCTATTGTGAAAATGATTTTCTGGGCAGTTTTGGTTCAGGTGCAAATTCGCTTTATAGATTCAACCAAGCCTTAGCTGGTTCACTATGTCTGGAGCTATCTGATGGGGGGGCAGCATTGCGCAATGAAACTAAGAAAAACCAAGAGAACATACCTCCAGAAAAAAATGCACAGGAAACCACACCAGGAAAAGTTACAGAAGCCAGAGAAGCTCTTCAAGAAAGCCTAATGACTGTGCCCGAGACCCCATCACCTGATCAGCCAAGTGATGGAAATTATGGAATTAAGAGGGAATTTGGAAACTGTATTGAGATTGGGGCTAGAAAACGGCATCCTAGACCTCAGGGAAACAGCAGGAATGTGGATTTAAGAGGCCAAAATGGTGGTGGTTTTTTATTTGGGACTAGTGATACCAATTCAAGATCAGGCTCAGCTTACTCAGAAATTTGTTCATCAGCAGCACAGCACTTTGCACGCATACGTGAAGTTCTGGTAGAGCAGAGTGTGACATCAACTTTGAACTCTGGCTTCTTATCCCCTTGGTAGGCTACTAAGATTCTTTTTGTGAAACCTATTAGTGTTTCATATGATGGTATGAGACCCCATATTTATAAAAACACCAAATTTCTTTATATAGTATGCAAATGTTAGCTAGTGTATTAGCTCACTTTACTTCAGTAATTTGTTTAACGAATGTGTACATAACTATTGTGGCTCATTTAATCTCTTATGTAAAATATGGTGCACATGACAATCTGGTGCCACAACTCCGTTGTGGCGTAGATCTTAAACATTCTTCAGAACATTTTGGGATCTTTATATGACTAATTGCTTTGGTTAAGTTATTGGCTGCAATATTGTACTTTTTCACACGAGTTTCTCTGACTTCTTGTTCTCCTTTTTTATTCTCAATATAAGCATCTAACTGTTTCCATGATTCTATGTATGGACTCAAACCAAGTACCAGCAAGATCTCATGACCTTACTCCTTGCTTCCTTCTTGCTTTATCAAGTTAGAGGGAATGAATGAAAGCATAAAGCAACGAATAAGGTCATGAGATCATGCTGCATGGAGTAAGGTAATGAGATCATGCTGGAATATGAATTTCTCGCCAATGTTGCATGAGGAAGTTATTGAATTCATTAAGCTTTTCTTTTCTGGAGTTTAGGTTATTGGCTGGATGTAGGCCTTTAGCTATTAGGCGATGGCTCTTTAAGAAATATGTATATGGAAACTGATAAAATGTTTGTCAGATGTTTGGGCTGCAAAACTTGGTTCTTCTACTTTCTAACCAATAACAAACTTTTTTTTTCATCTTAGCCCACTGTAATGTACTTGTATGCTTATTTTGTTGAGACTACTTATGGGATGACAGAATATTTTTCTTATTTATGTATGTACACAGCTTGGATCGGCTTGTGGTGTTACTTGGATTGGACTTGTTTGCTGTCAATGACGAGAAATTCATGGACATGTTTGTTGCACCTGGATCAATGGAAATCCTTCAGAATGAACTGCTGTCTCTGCAGAAGCGACAGAAAATACTGCATTCTTGCCTGAACGAGTTCAAAAGTGTGGCCCGGTCACTTTAATGGGAACCTCCCCTTTCTGACCAACCTTCATTGACACCAGGAGGACGGATTTTATTTGTCTCACAACTTGTGAACTTGCGTAAAATGTTCAACTGGAGTTTCATAACACTCTCTGTCAGGGTTAGTCAGTTGCTTGATTGGGTTTGTAAATATCATTTACTTACTGATTGTGATTTCCGGTTAATGATTTCGATCTACATGTACAGAGTATACTTCTGCAAAATCCACAAGATTGACAAAGGACTTGAGGTTTCACATCTGGTGGGCATTTCAATTGTTAGAGGTTCCATAATTTTCTCTCTCAAGGTGAGCTGCTTCAATTTGTTTGATAAAGACTATAGTATTGTGATTAAATTACCCTTTATGTTTATTTGTACAAATAAAGTCATGAGGGACTACTTTTTTTCATATTCGTACTAATGTGGTGTGAGCTTGTGAACAACTGAAATTTCTGTGGAAATGATGTCAATTCATTATTGGCTATGTTTGTAACTGTTGAATATGCTAATTTATCCCTTTGAGCTGAAGTTTTCAGAAGCAAATGTGAACTTGTTGCCAGAACTTGAATCTCACTTGGTGTACAGAGTAGTACTTTGATCGTTTCGGTCCCCATGGCACTTTCAATTTATACATAGCAGATTACATTTCGTCAGCTTAACTATCAGAATAATCAGGTTGGGTGCCCTCAAGCTGTGTGTATAGATTGGTTATTCTCTCTCTCTCTCTCTCTCTCTCACACACACATGCATACAAAAGCAGCATAATATGGTCTGCCCAAACTGCAGACAGTACATGTCTTTTCTCTGCAGTATAGCAATATTATTGTTACTGAGAATATAAATAATTTACATTGTTAAGTTCACAATGGAAGCATCAAATAAAAATGGACTGTCATATATGAAACACTGGTTGAACTATTTATAAACTTAGCAACATGAATGGGTCCTAATTCATATATGATCGAGGATTATCTGGGGAAATTGAATTGATAAGAATTAGCACCGGAGGAGATCCCAATCTATGATTGAGATCTCCTTTAATAGTTTTTTTCTTAAATTTTTTCAATGATAAATCGTCCACCTGCTATTATCTATGCATGCACGTACATATAGTAGATTCCATTTGAATTAATGACGTCTGATCTATGTTTAAAAGAGGGTGGTTCGTTGTAGGAGATTCAAATCCTTATCTTTATTAACTGCGGCAAGGTTTGAAACCTACACGGTGGTTGTGACTTTGGACATTCTGGTACATGTCAAAGCTAGAATGGGTCAAGGTAGGAGTTAGTCAAAGCAGATGAAACTAGGATTGAACCATTTACGATTAGACTAACTACCCCGGAAGCATTCTCAATGGCCAATGCTCACATGGGGTTTGGCCCATTTGATTCCCTAGCTTAAGTTAGGAAGTAAATTGGTTTAGCTGATGAAACTTGTGCCTAATCTCACATTGACAGGCTTCTGATCTGAGTGGGAGATACTAGACCAATGAGACAGACCCTGTTCACTAGTTCTTCAATACTAAAGAAATTAAGGACTAGTTCGTGTTAAAGTTTCTTGGCACGTATGGTACTTGCTGGTTGGGTTTAGCTGATGAAACATGTGCCTAACATCACATTTAACCGGCTATGATAGTGAGATATATTATATTAAGACCAATGAGACGGAACCTACTAAGCAATGACAAAGTAGGATTCAGCACTATTCCTATTTGTAAGCATAAGAATAACCAACAAATTGGCACCTAATGCACTACATTGTTTAAGACTTCCAAGTCAAGCCGGCCAACCACAGATTATAGTTATACTTATATTCACTATATTCAAACTGGCACGTAAACCAACCCTCCCCCACAAAAAAAAAATTCCACCCACCCACCCAAATACATCTGGATGTCTTGAGTTTTTGCTAATATGGTTTAAACTTATTCGATATTTATGATTTGACGATGATGATTATAGGTTTCGAGATTTATTCTTGCAGGAAATGGGTCTGCAAGTTTTTTTATCATTGAGAGGTTTCTCCTCATAAAAAAAAAAGGCATTTAACAATTTTTCCAAACATATTAGGTTGTTTTTTAGGAATCTTCATAATTGATGTCATCAACACTGGTTCTAGAGGTGGGCTGGCAAGAGCCTTGCATAAGTTTCGACAAGTCCTTTTATTGCTTACTGTTGCACTTTAACTATTTTGATTTTTTTTAAAAAAAAATTAGATAAATTGAATTAATTTTCTTTATATAGAAATGATCATATATTAAATGATGGTTATTGAATTTTATGGGTCACTTGTTCCTTTGTTAATGGACAGTTATACAAAGTGATACTGTTGACACGGAGTAATTATTACGTTCAAGATTTTTCTAGTATTATAAATTGTATGAATTGAATTGTATAATGTTGAAAAAAAAAAACTGAATTGCACTGTATTTAAAAACTGTAATATTTAACTTCAGTAAGTGATTAATAATTGGATGACTACTGATTTTTTGGACTAATAAGAAATTACTACAATAGGTTATTATTGTCTTTTTATCTTTTTAAAGATAATATTATAAATTAAGTTTTTTTGACAAGTATTGACATTTAAAAGTAGTATATAAATTATTAGATCTATTCAAATATTTGTTTTTTAGCGAATTTGGATATGTACTACGTATCTACAAACATATGATGTAATTTGGTGATTATTTAATAAAATTGAGGAGAAATTCATGTGGTAAATATTAAAATCGTCTGTAATCAACTTATTTGGATTAAAATGAATCTATTTTAACGAATTTATATATGCATTGTGAAAAATAAAATTCGTTAGACAATGGAATTGGATTCGGATTATATTTTTCAAATAAGATTTTAATCGAATGTTTATTGTTTAGAAAGAAAATAATTAAAAGTCAAATAATGAATTTATTAGTTGAATTAATGCAACCAACAAAAAAAATTAAAAAATTCCTCAAAAAAGAATAAAGTAGACATTATAAAATTTTAAAAAAATCAAAAGTTTTTCTCTTAAGCTACTTTAAAAAGGATAAAATAGATATTATAGAATTATTGAAAGATAAATAAAGAAATTAAATTTTTTCACTTAAGTCACTTTAAAAAGGATAAAGTAAGCATTATAAAATTATTGAAAGATAAATAAAGAAATCAAAATTTTTTCACTTAAGCCACTTTTATTAGTAATATATATAGATTCGTTTCAAAAACTTTTTTCAAAAGTTTAAAAACCATTTCATAGACTAAATAGTTGGGTCATTTTTTGTCATACTGATATGAGTAATTTTTTTTGAGAACTAAAAAATTGAACTAATTTATTAACCTTTTGACCTGCCAAGTAATACAGTTTTAATGGAGAAATTCAACAATTATAGTTATAAGAACACTATTAAAATATGTAACTATCATGTTATTAGGTTAACAAATTAAATCAAATTTTTAGATCCAATAATATTACTCTAGTGAGATTATGTAATAGAGTGAGATTAAAAAAAAAAGAGTGGTGTATCTCCTCTTCAAGTGGTAGTGAGTGGTAGTACTAGTGCATTGAGGACATTCTTGTCCCCCACTTTCCCCCACTCCTTTTCCTTTTAATATAAACAAGAATGTGATTCTCTCTCTCTCTTTATGCTTTCAACATTTTTAAGTGTAATGTAAGAATCCTATGGATAAATGGATTTGGACCAACATTTTGGGTATTGCACTTGTTTAATTATTGAACCATCACAACCAAAACTTAAACTTGGTTTCTATTAACTACTATTCATATACATGCACATATAAATTAAAACTTTTCCATACTCCTCCCTCCTACACCTATTGCTTTCAAATTGCTGGGAGTATCATATTCATTACCCCTGTTGTTTACTAATCCTTTTGTTTTACAGATATTCGTTTCAATAACCTTGCGGGTTGTATGTTTAAACCCGAAGATAAACACTTTCTGCACTTAATACCAAGAGTTAGAAGCGTACAAATCTAGGTGTTATTTTGACATAAGTAACCAAGTGGTTGAACTGAACCTGCCCACTGAACCACTCGAAACTAGACAAAAGCAATACTTCAAACACCAATTCATGTGGAGGAGACCTCATCTACCACTGCAACTTTGTACCCTTCAACTCTACTAACATCCTTTCAACATTTTGTGTGTACGCCCTTTAAAATGTAATTGAAAATCCAGATTCCAGCATGGCCAATCGGACGTTACTTAGATCTATGAATTGTTGATGTTTAGATTTTCTAATGGGATTTTTCAGTTGGAGTGCGAGTTTGAAATATTTTTAATTGGTTGTTATCCCATTTTTCATGTTTGTTGAGCAAAGTAGTCAAGTAATTCAACTCTATAGGAAATTAACAACATATTTAAACTATGAATTCTTCCAAAATTATTTAAGCTTATTTCCTGGAATTGTTTGAAAAGTTTAAACTATTGTCTCTATATCAAAAAATGAATTACTTTTATTTATTGCTTGGTAAAGTAAAGTATTGATTATTTAATAAAATTTATAGAATCTACTATAAAGATTTTGCAAGGAGTGTGGGTGTGTAGCACTGTTGACAGGGTTAAAACATTCTGACCCCAATCCCCATCACAAGACTATAGTTTTTCTGCAGTCAGGGGTCTGAAGTCAATGGCCAAATGTATTGAAATTGAAACTCCTAATCATGGCCACTTGACGCCGATGGCTGAAATTCCAAATTCTATCAATTCCTTTCTTACATTTTCTTATCTTCAGGGCCAGGTGGGGGCATTTTTTTCTCGGTAGCCAATCAATCCCCTAAAGCCACCAAAAAGCAAAACAGAAGCACGAGAGAAAGAGAGGGTCTTGACTTTTGATGAGCTCAAGTCCAACAACAAAACAAAAACAAATAAGCAATCCCCTCTTAGTTCTTTCCAAAGCCTTGTTTTTCACTCATTCATCTCTTCTTCTCCACCCAAAGCAATCCAACCCCCTTCTCTCTCTCTCTCTCTCTCTCTCTCTCTCAAGAGGAGGTGAGTCACAGACCCATCAATGGAAATAACCTCAAGACCTCAAGAGAGAGAAAACCCATCTCCCACAAACTCCCCAAACAGCAATGTAAGCAGTAGTAACTACAGCAATGGATCAGTCCAAATTCAAACCCCATCATTGACCCCAAAACCCATCTCTAGATCTGAAACCAATCCTTACCCAACCACCTTTGTCCAAGCAGACACTTCTACATTCAAGCAAGTAGTTCAGATGCTCACTGGATCATCCGAAACAGCCAAACAAGCCTCCAAACCAATCCCATCAGATCCACCACCTTCCAAAGGGTCTATATCTATTCCACTAATCAAGACTGGACAAAAGAAACAAGGTTTCAAGCTCTATGAAAGAAGGAGCATCCTCAAGAATGGTCTCATGATCAGCCCCTTGATGCCTGGTTTAGCCCCAAATTCTGGGATTTCACCTCGAAACACAGAGATCTTATCCCCAAGTATTCTTGATTTTCCTTCACTTGTTCTTAGCCCAGTTACACCATTGATCGAAGACCCATTTGAGAAATCTTCACCTTCCATGGGAAATTCATCGGAGGAAGAGAAAGCAATTGCTGAGAAGAAATTCTATTTGCATCCATCACCAAGGACAACGACGCCGAGAGACTCCGAGCCACAGCTCCTGCCATTGTTTCCGGTGACTTCGCCGCGAGTTTCAGGGTCGTCTTCTTGAGAGATGGTGTCTCTTGTGAAGGTGTAATTGTGAGTAGTTGAAAGGAAGAGTACTGGGTGTTGGAGGGTTAATTGGAGAGACAGGTATTGATCTAGCTTCAATTGTACAATTTGATCTCTCTCTTACTGTGTCTTACAGTGTTAACTTTGCGTATTTCCTTTCATTTGTTTCTGCTTTTCTTTTCTTTTGGGTGTTTCTTATTTCACTGAGAAAATGACATAAAAGAAAAAGCTCGAGGCAACTTCTCTCTCTCTCTCTCTCTACTTTCTTGGCCTTCTTTTGGGTTTTTGTTGATGCTATGACAAAAACTTCCCTTTCCGTTACATTAAAAGCGTTATTGTTTTCCAACGACAAGTAAGGAACTGAGTTACTGCTGAAGGAGTAATCTCTCTCTCTCTGAGTGAGTGTGTCCCGGGAGTGGGATAAAATCATATTCAAAGCATACATGACACCAATAGAAGAAGAAAAAAAGTTAGTGGGTGTGGGTGGCGTGTAATTCAGATTTCTTCCATAGAAGCAAAAAACCCATTGATAAAATAGTGTTATTGGGTGGAAAAAATTCATATTCGCGGCATACACATACTGAGAAGAAAGAAGAAGAGAGTACAGTCTGAGAAGTATATACAAAGCAATCCTGTTTTCTGAAATTCGTGCCTTGAAAGGGAACTTACGTTAAACAGTAATGCTCTCAGAACTGTGTCAAACGATGGAATTCTAAGAAAAAAGTTTAAGAGATATTGCCACAATAATATTATTAAACCGCGTATGTTATTAGTATATTATTTAATTAATAAATTAAATTAATTTTTTAGATCACAACAATATTACTTTTAAGTGATGATTGGATTGTACGGTCAAGGGGTAAGGTATAGGGATGACAGTGGATTAAAAAAAAAATGAGTATTTGATCAAATCCGTTACGTTTAGATTGAGAATAAATTATACGTATTAGATGGTGGACATATATAAGATTACCCGTATAAACCTGTACGGGGATGAAGGTGGAGATGGAATTACCCTTACCCCGCCCCACCCCTACCTGTTATATATATATATATATATATATATATATATATATATATAAAGTCTTAACTAAACATATTTACTGTAACTACAAATCTAGGAATATGATAATCAAAATAAACAAAGTGACATTGCTATATGGTAATCTTATCAACTTTTTTCTTTGATCGTTCTTTTTTCTATTTGTGCTTACTGATTGAAATTGTTAGGAGTTTAGATTAATCATGCTCTAAAAATAGATAAGAGAGACTAAGATAGTTTTGCATTTCATCGTGGGTAGAAATATTGTGAATGGAGGTTGCTGAGTTTCTCTGCTAGAATGAACTAAAAAATGGGGAGAATTATTGAATTAGAAAAATTTTAAGTTTATTAACACTTTATGGTTGTAATATGAATTGTAATAACAAAAATTCTTCTAGAAAACTTCAAGTGTAGTACTATCGTTTTTTTAGTTCAATTTTATTTTCCTTTTCTTTCTTTCTCTTTAATAATTCTGTTTATCTTTTTGTGGTCTAATGACACTTTAAATAGAATATTATACTGTTTTGCCTTTTACATTTTGTAAGCTACATTATTTTGTGTTAGACTATGTTAGAATGTTATTGGATTATTTAAAATATTAGATTTATTTAAAATTTTGGATTATGCTACTTGGGCTTGGGTTTAGGCTTAGGCGGGAGAAAGCGGGGACGGAGATTAAAAATTTACCCGTGGATAAGGATGGAGATGAAAACTATATCCGTTAACGGGGGTAGACCGGGGATGGACAGAGTTTTTTTAAACAGGTACGGAGATGAAGACTATACTCTCCGTCCCCACTTCGATCCATTGACATCCCTAATAAGGTATTTTCAAATTCCCCAAGAAGAGTGTTGTGTATGTAGTACGTAGTATGTATGGATGGCCAGCAGACAGATAGTTTGCTTACCAAGAAAAGACCTCAAGATACTTTAGATGCCACTGTTAAGAGTTAACCAAGATGCTCTACTATTACCTATATCAATTTATCAATAATTTTTTATCTTAAAATTGAATTTAATGGAAGAGATGTTCTAATTCATCCAATTCAATTGATTTGTGGATAATTGCAAGCATCTCTAATTTATATAATAGCAAGAGTCTAAGAGACATAATTAAGATGGTTGAAGATAGAACAAATCGTAAGTAAAATAAGTTAGTTTTTCTCTTCCTTAAGTTTTTATTTTTATATTTTATTTTTATGAGAAATCTCTTCTAGACAAAGGGTAAAAATATCATAGTTGGTCTTTAAATTTTGTACTTGGTTTTAATTTGGACTTTTATCTTTCAATTGTTTTAATTTAGTCTCTCAATTATTAATTTTATTTCAAATAAGTCATTTTGTCCATTTTCATTGTTAAACCAAAATCAAAACATTTGGTTTAACGCTTGAAATAGATCATATTAGACTAATCTCAGTTGATTTAACGGCAAAAATAGACGAAATTACTTAATGAAGATAAAATGACTTAATGAAGATCAAATTGATAGTTGATGGACTAAATTGAAACAATTAAAAATTCAAAGACCAAATTAAAATTCAAAACAAATTTAAGAATTCATTATAATATTTATTCAATAAATAAATTTCAAATAATTATAATCACCATTAATATCAAGTCGAAGTTAGAATCATCAAGATATTACTAGACTAGCGAAGGGCGGGGCTTGTGTTTCCTGAGTTACAGCTCATGATGAAGTGTCTTTTGACTCAGGAGACCACATGCAGCTGTAGCGACATAGCCAAGAAAGGGAAAGGGAAAGGGAAAGGGAAAGCGAAAGCGAGAGAGGAGAGAGAGTGGGGAGTTGTAAAGATGATGACCAGTGAAAAAGAGAATCTATTACCGATATATCTTATTTATCAAATTTATTTATCGATTTAATGTCGTTTTTAACTTATTTATTAAATTATCGTTGTTTTAAAAGCAGATTTGACAAATTCGACTTCATTTGAAAAACGAATTTGACAAATTCGACTTCAATTGAAAAGCGAATATGGTAAATTTGATTTCATAGGGAAAACGGACATACCAAATCTGTCTTTATATGAAAAGCGGACATATTAAATCCGCCTTTATATGAAAAGCAGACTTACCAAGGTGCAAGCCTTTATATGTATAATTGTGTTGATCGCCAAAAGAATATTTGACTATTTATTGAATACGTTTGATCTCTCTGATTCTATATTTTTTGTGAATAAATTACTCACCTTTATTAGTCGTTAAAAATTCACTAATTGATTTTATCTAAATTTATTAGTTATAACCCGTGCCTGCAGGCACGATAAAATATAAAATTCGAGCATCTAAAAAATCGATCCCACTATATTAAATTTTTTAAAATATATTAATTATAAATTAATCAAATATTAAATAATTAAATATATGATAAAAATGAGTGATTTATTTTTTAGGGAGAAAATATATAAAGTCAAGAATTTCGGGTGGTATCCCAGAAAGAAAATTAGATGAAATATTAAAAAACGGATTTGATATGTCTGCTTTTTAAATGAAGTCAGATTTGATATGTTCACTTTCCCTATAAAGTCAAATTTGTCAAATCCGTTTTCCCTATAAAGTCGGATTTGTTAAATCCACTTTCCAAATGAAGTCGGATTTGTCAAATCCACTTTTAAAACAACGATAATTTGGTAAATAAGTTGAAAATGGCAATAAATTGGTAAATAAGTTTGATAAATGGGATAGATTGGTAATAGATTCTTGAAAAAGAAGTAAACAAGGTATGATTAGATTAACTCAAAGAGTAAACAGAGAAAATGATACCATTTTCTTAATGGTATGTGTCAAATATCTCCAATTATTAGTCCCACTGTACACTATTATAAAGTTGATAAGACTATAATATCAAAAAAATAATAATTATCCTAGACATAGATCTTACTTTGGTTAATGTATATAATAACCATAAGTTATAAAATCCATTGTATAATCATATTATTTCATGCACAGCCCCATGGTAATTCTGAAAAGGATGTTTAGTAAACTCAGCAATCTCTATACTATATAGAGATGTGTCTACAAATGTGGAGAGATCTTCAAAATCTCAATCGTATTTTTTCAAATTTTTTATTATTTAACTGTCGTAAAATCTAATATGTGACTACTATTGGTTCATACATATTTTTCATAATCTTCCTTCCATCTGTCTTTCATCCATCTAATTTCCTCTTCAAGAACATCAAAAAATCATTCGGTAACATTGACAATTTTTCCTCGAGAATATACCCGTGGGCAAAAAACAAGTGGAGTAGATAATTATGATGCAAGAAAGTATAGTTTTTTGGTAGTATGACAATGTGAAAATCATTTGTTGTCAAGCTGCCATAGCTGAATTAGCATGAGAGTTACAAAGGAGAGAGAGGCGAAGAAGAGACCTGAGTGATTTTCTTCGAATAATTCTTCTGCTGCAATTGCCTTAAATACCTTAAACCAAAGCACATTCCAACTCATCTGGTTAACCACTCCAACACTTCCCCGCTTTGCCCCCAACATGAAAATTGACACTCCATCAATCACCAACATCTGCGAATCTAGAAGGAGAGCTAGCCGGATACTCCCACGCATGTTGCAAGATGCAAGATGGTGTATCCTTTGTGTGTAGCTTGATTCTATTTTAAATAAGAGTGTAAGTTTGTCTTGAGCATTGCACGGGATCCTACTAGCATTACAAGAAAATTGTTTTTCGGTGGCTTAAAAAATCATCGCTAAAAGTGAAAAATTGGCCGCTGAAAATTTTTTGCAACAAAAAAACTTGGTCACCAATATATACTGTTAGTTGTACTTAAAAAAAGAAAAAATTTTAGTCAAATCTTACATAAAAATCAAACTTCAAGGCTAAAAAAAAAAGTAAGAGCCACTGCCTTTTATAAGCAAGTTAACCCTCTGCATCTCATCTCATCTCATGTCGATATGGGACAAAAACAAAAGACATTGGTTTGCCTTTGTATTTGAACTGTTCCCCATCTCCCCTCCTTTTGTCTTTGAACTACTGCGTTATTTTTTTTATTGATTTCTTTACATCTTTTTCTAGCTAATTTTTTAAAATAATTATTAATTTATTATTATATTAATTTTATTTGAATGGATAAATTGTAATAAACAGTTTGACAGATCTCACTCAAACACGACCTGTTTATTAAACTTATTTGACGGGTCAATTTTTTTACCACCCAAACTCGTTAAGTTCTCACCCAAACCCGTTTAATTGGTGTCGATTCATGTTAATTAATCGTGTCTTGTCAGATTTTGACAGGTCTACTCATCGCCAAACAAAATCATTTCTAAAGAGTAGCATTTTATTATTACTATTGTCCTTGTAACAAATCAAAATAAATTCACTGTAGTGCTTCAATCATTGAGAATCATTATAATCTCTTTTGGCAATGAAACATAATATTTGTCAAAAAATGTTTTTTTTTTTGCGACAACTTTTCTTACACATCGCAAAAAAGTCATCACAGTAAAACGTTTTTCTTGTATTGATATTTTGCGATCAAATAAAAATTGTCGCCAAACAAAAAAAAATTTAACTTTTTTTCTGCAACAAACATATATTGTCGCTAAGTATTATTATCTTTGTTTTCTTATTTTTCGTTATTTGACAAAAATTTTGTGACCAAAAAATTATTTTGGCGACAATTTTTTTTGTCGCCCATAAAATTAGTATTTAGCACTAATTTTTTTTTGGAGAGAACGTTTTTGCGAAGGCTATTTGAGACAACTACAAAAAATGGTCGCCAAAATTATCATAAAAAAATTTACCACGACAAATATTTGAAATTGTCGCCGAAAATCACTTTTTTACAACAAATTTTTTTGTTCGTTGCCAAAACTCGTTGGTAAAAAATAAATTTGTTGTAGTGTAGTTACTAATAAATAATTGTATAAACTTTTAATACAATATTACAAGTGACTGTTAAAACTGCAAATCAATTTCTACACCTCTTCCCCTTCCACAATCAACTTCCATTCATAACTGATACATAAAAACTCTTTAGATTTTGGACATTATGGTTTGAATTTACCACAAATACATTAGTTAGCAATTAAAGTTTGAAGAAATTTCAGGCCTTTCATATTCTGCCTTCCTCTACATGCAGGTGTCATAAAGCAAGAAGCTCGTGGTGGTGTCTGCGACTTTCTTAGAACCTTGTGAGTTCGGTTAATACAAATCTACTCCTCTCTCTCTCACAGTCTCGCATGCTTGCACACCATGTGTCCTTCTGTGGCCAAAGCAATGGTATTGCTCCAATAGATACTAACCTTTTGTTTGTCTTGTCCTCCTAATTTAAAACCCTCTTTTTGAGTTCTCAAAGAACAAAATGATCAATTTCTATGTTCTTTTTTCTGTTATGGTTTACAGTTTATATATCTCTTTCATTCTGTTACGTTGCGTTATGATATGAGACACGATAAATTACGTTATTCTCCTACTAAATTGTGGCAAAATCATATCGCATGGGAGAGGTGATTTACAAATCTTTCTATCTTAAATGCTCTCAACTCTTCAGATAATTGAAATAGGTGTTTGATCATTAGAGGTGTTAAAATTTGTTATTATCTAAATTTTCACATGTGATAAAAGTGGTGAATTGCTAAAAACTTAATAAAACTATTTTAAGATGAATTTTTTTTGAATCTCTATTTTATCCTTATAAAAAATTACAAGTACCATTTTATCTTTTTACAATTAAATATCTAAATTTCCATTATATCTTTATGTTTTTAAATTTCTAAATTATCTATAACATCTCTTTTAATTATTTAATTATTTTCTATAAAAAATTTTGATTGATTATATTACCCTTAAAAATTTGCGACATTATATTTTCAATAAAATGTTAAATTTTTTTTAAAAACTCCATCAATCTAATATTACTCGTCTCATGTAAAAAAATAACATTATGTCTACATATGCGTATTTTTTTTTCACCGAAAAGTTTAACTCTTTTCATTTTTAAGATAAAAAATAATCATATATAATTTTTTTAAATTAATTTATGTTACATCAATATAATTCTTTAGTCACAATATACTTTCTAAATTGTACTAAGTTTTTATATAGTGTATTTTTAAATGAAACTTAAATTTTTTTAGAATTTTAACATGGTTAATAATATATATTATAAAGTAGTATATTAAATTTTATCCTAATGAACCTAACTAATTCCTAATTACAACAAGATTCCAATGTAATTAGTATATTAACAATTACTTTTATTTTATTCAAGGAATTATAAATATAATCCTAATCAAATGAATTTCAAAATATTTAATTTCTCAAATATCACTAAAAAATTAATCTTAATCACAAAATTCTAAAAAAATAGAACTTTAACTTCCTCTTTTTTTTTTTTTTATAATTAGATCAAAGAATTTTAAAAACATACAAAATTTTCTTAATTGTATAATAAAATATGAGTAGTGAAAAATTAAGTTTAATAAATTTAAAATGATATTTATTTTAGATACACATATACCTAATATATTTTATTAATTTTTATGTCCGAAAACTACTTTACGCAGGTTTTGTTTTTGTTTTCGTTGGTAAAAGAAAGAGATAAAAACCGAAAAGATAATTTTAGACCACTTATTTGGACTCAAAAAAAATGAACTGCATATGAATTCAATAAATTCAAACACTACCCCAATACGAATCTTAACTTAAGATAGCCCATTGATGGGTACATTGATAGGAACGTCTGCTCAATGATGGGCAGACTCTACTGATAGTACCTACTATCAGCAGTAGCTTCAGAAAACAAGCAAAAGGGAAGGGCAGCATTTGATCTGAAAATCACCCACAAGTTTGCTTCAACGACGTTTAATTATTTAGAAACTCTAATTATCACAACTATGTCTCATTACATTACGATAACAGAAGCATTACAGCCCACCTTAGAATCTTAGATTTCTGAAAAAGACTTGATTGTCTTAAACCCATGATTCTCTGGGAGAGGTCCATTTCCTGCCCGGATTGCAATTATCACCTCCAAACCTGAAACACATATCAGGATTCAATATCAATTGGAAAGAACAAAGGCCATATGGCTCCTTATGTCTGTGTGTATATGTGTGTGCGCGCGCGCATGCATAAATAACCACCTGGAAAATCTGGTAAAGTTCTTGAAACAAATGTGAAGTTAAAGGATCTTCCCAATGAGTCTAAAGCTGTTGGGAGAGACGAGAAAGTTGGATCAGCTGGTTCAAAAGGCTGGAGAATAAAGTTCAAGTTTGGGTCTAGTATCGGTGGTCACTTTGCTTTCAATTTTGACACATTATACAGTGAATCTCTCAATTTACTCCAATTTCTGCTGAGTATATTTGATGCAAAACATCAGACAAGATTCACAAGAGGTAGTTAATTGGTAGTCTAGGATTTGTTTTCCGAGGACAAAAGTACACCATGGGTCTTTCCTGTTCTCCAAATGAAATGAAGGAAACGTTGCAATTTCACTTTTTCTTCTTCTTTTCCTTCAGCACCCACCATCAACTCTCTCCTCTCTCTCTCTCTCCATATATATGCATACACACGTGCACTTATCCATTTCAGTTCATACTATTTTCAAAAACCCAAGACTACACGCCCTCCAACAAACTTATTGCCACCAATATAATCACCACTGTAAAATATCCAAAAAAATAAATAAATATTTGATCTCCTTGGAACAATTGTCATTGCCCTTCTCTCTCTTTCTCAACTTTTTGGGGTAAATTTTCCGCTTAGATTCACCCAATTCAACTCATGTTAAATCAAAACTGCACCCACAACCACCGAACTAGGTCCCCATCTTTGACATTGATAAACAGTCGAATGATTTGAACTAGGTCTGCGGCTCATGGGTTCAAATGGCATTGATCTTTCATTTCTCTAGAGCCTTCTACAACAACCAACTTTGGGGAACCATTTGAATCCCTGTCTCTTTTTTCTTAAATTAGTATTTTCATTGGGGTATGGGACTGTTTCACAGCTCTGCCTATGTTCACAGAGCATGGTTTCAACTATTTGTACAGTGACTACTTGGCGGGCAAGAGCTTACAGTTTCTTAAACAGCACATATTGGAAATAGAAACTATAAGCAGCAAACTACCTGCTGCCTTCGCAGCTACAGCTTCTTGAAAGACATCAGTCACAAATAGAATCTCTGAGGGGTTATCCACTCCCACAGACTCTGAAATTTCAATGTAACTTCTTGATTCTCTCTTGTTCCTGCACCAATGGAAGAGAAAGATGGTGTAAAGAACCACTTGATATCAGAAACTTCTTGTCAAAGCTGATAAATGAAATCATGGAAATCATAGGATTTACCCCACTGCAGTATCAAAAAATCCACACAAGTATTTTCTCAGGTCCCCATAATTTGTGCTACCAAATATAAGCCTTTGTGCCAACCTGCTGCCGCTTGAATATATGTACACCTGAGGGATGAGAAATTGACAAGGGAAGTAATATAAACTTGCAACTATAAATTACCCCAAAAAACTGAATGTCTTCCTAATGCACCATACTGGTAAAAGGGAGCTGGAGAACGAATAAGAATAATTGTGGAAAGGAATGGCCTGGGAAGCTCTCCTTTGAAATAAAAAATGTAAGAGGTAAAGGGAAAGAACACCAATCCATCCTTATGTATGGCTTCCATTTTTATTTTTATTCCCTTACCTCCTTCTATGCATATTCAAATATCTCAAACTTGCACTACATACAATATCCCATGCTCAAGAAAAATTTAATTTGGATTCTCACATTACTCATTTTATGCTTGCATATTCTCACATTACTCATTTTATGCTTGCATATTCTCACATCACACCTTTGTTGCTTTGTAAAAGAACAGAGCAAGTACCCCCATGGTTTAATATTATCTCATGCCTAAAGTAAGATTATGCTCTGCATGTGAGACAACATAAGGAAAAATAATATAGGACGCTCTGGTAACTCAAATCTAGAAATCTTGGTTTAACCATTGACATTTCTCTGATCTTCTTCAATCTTCAGGCTAGACATGCAGAAGAAAAAGAGACTAGTAAAAGGGGAAACTTAAGGGTAAGCTTAGATTTACTTCTTGATAGTCAGCTCCTTCTCAGACACTTGACAAATGGGTCCTCATGTCAAACCTTTGATATTGAAAGCGAATGCACCCCCTTGATTAGGTGAGCATTTAGAGGAGCATCCTTATCCACACAAAAATCCACCATTAATCGACCTCTATCTTAGCATTATCTCTTGAACAATGCTATTGAGACATAATTTGGGGACTTCCAATGGTCACAATGCATTAAGTCCCCAAATTATGTCTCAAGAGCATTAGTGTAATCTTTTTAGAGGAGAACTAATCAGCTTTAAACTTTGGACGAATAATGATATATCAATGCAGGTTCCACATATAGTACCAAGTAATCTGTTTGAAAAAAAGGTTCGGAAAGGGAAGGAGAAGAATATATCCTTCTCTCAGCTGTACGAAAACATATACTAGAAGCAAATAAGCATTTGAACTCAAAATATTTCTCATCATAACAAGAACTACAAGAAAATTATTTAGTACGCGCCTTTCATGCAATTTTCAAGCTCATTAGCGTGATGTACGATGGAATTGAAGCACGCAGAACAATAATGCATAGACTCCCAAACAATATTCTAAGGGAACAAACAGCAAATGGAAGGTAAGAAGTAAAAGTAACCTTAATGCCCAAAGCATGCCACTTCTCAAGAGCTTGAGGTACATCATCAAAAACCACACCCTCTAATTCGTTATTCTGAAATCCAGTCCGCCATATATGACCCTGAATGCCTAAAAGTTAGCCAGATTTTGAGGAACTTGAAAGGAGCATTTTCTTCCAACTTCCATTTGCTTACTTGCAATTGTTTCAGAGCAGTAATTTTCCTGTCAGCTTTTATCATTGCTTCCACATTAGCAACCAGAGCTGAAATCACCTCACCTTTTCCTGCATCATCAGATGGGATGGGCACAGCACCAACAATTCCTTGTTCTAAGTCATCCCGTACCTGCAATCAGAATTAAAAAAAAAATTGTACATGTCATTATCTTAGTTTCAAGAAATAAGTTTGGTTCCAGTTCACACACGAGGGAGAGAGAGTTCTAACCAGGGTTACCTGGATCGCGGGTCGATTAGGTACGTGGTACAGGTACAGGTGCGGGGTACGTTACTTTTTCCAATGCGCGGTGCGGTGGGGGTAGGCTTAACTGGTACGCTATTTTGGGTTGCAGTTCGCTTTGAACTATTATCCGGATCATTTTCATTATTACAAAGAATTATATAAATTTATACATTATACATATAATCAATTGCTACTTGTTTTAAACCTATAATAATTTGCTCACTCTTATTTTATTTATATATGTATAAGATATCATTTAATTAATACTTATTTTGTATTTGTTGAACAAATTTAAAGGCAAAACAATACCAACAACAACACATCAACTAATAATTATGTATAAAAATGTAATGGTTGCATATTTTATTATCAAAAAAAAAAACATAATATAAATTTAAAGACTTAAAATTTAAAAAATAACATACTAAAGAGCAATTAAATAGCTTCCTACTTAAAGCACAAATCAAAATAACATTTTTAAACATCTAACAAGTCTCAAATAAAAATTACTTAATAATTAGAAAAAATTAGAGCACATGAGTTAATTGTCAACTCTTTCCCCTTTATCTTTCGCATTGTTCCCTCATCTTACAAAGTTACTAATTTGATTCTGATGTAGTCCGAAATAACGGAGCGATGGCCTTGTAGAACTAGTAGGTGGCATGGTAAAACTAGTAGGTGGCCTGTTAATAAAGACGAGCATAGAGATCTGCGATGGGAACCACACCAAACTCGAACCAGTCTTCAATGAGAATCAAGCATTCTATGCAACAAAAAGCAGTGTTCGCCGCCGACTGTCGATCGAGGCAAACAAACGCGATCCATAGCACTTTTCGATGTAGTAATCTGAAAAGCTTTGTGGGATCCATCGGGTATGTAACCTAATCTTCATTCTTCACTCGGTGTGTCCTATTATAACTTAATCTGTACAATTTATAATATTTATAATGATTTGGTTTGATATGAGTTTTAGGGCTTATATTGGAGATCTAAGTCTGAGATTCTGAGTTTTGATTTAATAATTAGTTTGATAGGGGTCAAAGACTTGACTAATCCAGGTCGCGAATGACCCACGTTTGGGGTCGTGCGACTCAAATCGGGAATCGTAAGGGGTCATACGTTTTTTGGTAACCCTGGTTATGACTTTCTAACCAAAACAGGTAGAGCACCATGAACCTCTACTCTCTGTCGTCCAATCTTCCACACAAATCTAGCAGAGCAGGATACTATGCCTATGGCATAGGCATTTGCTTGTTATAAAAACTTAATTGAATCATGCAATATTCTAGAATATAACAACATAATTTGAAAACCATGGAGGGCATGTAAAGTTTAGAAATGAAGTTCATAGAAACATAATCACTCTGCAAATGGCTTTTCCCAGGACAGAGGATTATGATCAATGCAATTCAAATAATGCATGGGGGAAGAAACTAGAATCTTACATCGATTTCCTAGTATGACTATAAAATGTGCTTCCTTGTGAGGATGTGCCCAAGTTACATTGTGAATGTCAACATTACCCGGCTATGGTATTGAAGATAAAAAATTTTCATCTTGCACAATTTAGAATAAATTGAGGTAGACTCTTTAAGAAGCATTTTACTAAATAAAAGCTTACTTGAGAGCTCAACAGCTTAATATCTTCTTGAGTTTCTGCAGTGTCATATGTTGCATCTAAATGTCTCCCCACATTATCACGAGCATATGGAAAGAGAACATCAGCTACAAAAGATATAGGTGTTGTGGTCCCCTCGATATCCAGAACAATGCAATGCTGGAACAATATTTCAATAAAAGAATTAATATCAGGATACAAGAGAAGCTTGGATCCTTGAGATTTCTAGCAAACACTTCAAAAAGTTACCCGTGATGGCTCAATATCATTATTCGAAATAAGTTTTGCCTTTGCAGAGAGGCTAATATTTCGATCACCTCCTCCGAAACTATGAGTGGGACCATGACTAGGAGTAGACCAGTCCAGGCCCAATTGGTGAAGTTTGATGGCAGCATCAAAGAGATAGTGATAACATTCAGCCTGAAAGGATAATTAACCAAGAAACAAATGATATAAACTCCAAAAGGACGCATCATGTGCGTTCATCTCAATGCAGCTATCTAATCTTTCTGGAAATGTAAAATAGGTGAGTAGAAGTACGAAAAGCCTGACACCATGCGTAAATGCATCAAATCAATTTTAAAACTCTTACAGAACATGGCAGAGACACTTATAAAAAAATTGACAATTTAATATTGTACTCGTGTGACTTTGCCTAACCCTTGGAAGGGTGGCACGTTTTTATCCTCCTCTACTTCTTTTCTTCTCCTCCTTTGCACTCTTATTCTTGAAACCAAATCTGAAACTGCCCTTTTTCCAAACCTAAAAAATCCCAGTTTGATTAGCCAAACATTTTCTACAAATCCCACCATCCTCAATCCATGAACTTTGTCCGTTGTCATCTTACTACAAGCCCAAAAGTCTACCCCTTCTTGCAGCATACAAAACACTGAAAATCCACAAAATTAGCAACCTTTTTCAGCCACAAATTAAATCCTAGTAAGCCCCTTAAAAGCCTTTCTTCCACTGCACAGGAAGAAGTTTTGGAACCATCTGTTATAGGAGTGTGTTTCCCTCACTCATCCTACATAGTCTACAATTCAACCAATCCAATTATGTGAACATTTGGTTTCCATGCTGTATGGTCACCATATATGCACATCTCCAACCAAAGAAACGGACTTACAAATAAAGATCCTGTCCAACTAATCAAAATCGCTATCCTCTTCCCCAGAAAACACGAACCTGAGTTTTAGCACTGATCCAAGAATCCCCCCATACGTATATCCCATGGTTCCGTACCAGCACAGCTGTTGTTTTTGGGTAGGCTTCAATCTACAAAACAGGGAGATAATGAGTTATTCTGGAGCAGTGTTCACACTAACACCTAGATTAATAATGAAAAGATGATAATGCAAATGGGTAGAGGAGAGAGCAATGTTCATTTTTTTTAATCTCCCCTGCACAACTGTACTTTTGGAATGGTTTTAGAAGGCATTGCCAGAATTGGCAACAAAATAACCTATGGCGTGTATCATCAAGCAGTTATCCAAGCAGAAGTTTCAAGGCTGAGATCATTCAACATTGTACATAAATTATCTCTTCCACAGGTATGCAACGAACAGAAACTTGTCATTAAGCTATATGGAAAACAAAAAAAGCCTTGCAAATATCAAATTATTTACAAGAAGTGCGGTAATGAGTGAAGCGCCGCTTGAATTTTGGTTTTACATCACCAAATCCCTCAGATTGTTAAAAATTCAGGAAGTTGTCATTATCTCACAAAACAAGAGCCAGAAAGGAAGTTTCCTATACTTAACTCCATAAAAAATGTCATTGTGTATGATTTTTATAACACCAACACTTTTTAATAGATAATATCAGACATCCATATTGCTTTGTAAGAAACATCACAACACTAGAAAATTTTCAGAACAAATTATGTTATGTAGGAAAATGACTGTCCTGGCGTTGTGCACTAGGGAAAAAAAGTTGCCATATCGAATAACACGGTTTTATTTCAGGCCCTTTCAACCCATAATTTGTTGTTGAGGCCAAACCAGCACATCGTATTTTCTTTTCCACAGCATGCAAATACTCAGTTCAATTTGAATAGTCATCACTGTGCAAAGACAATTTATAAAATAACATACGGCTTCAGTAAGAGATGCTGTAAGTTCCCGCTCATGAGCAGTGTTCTCTATTATGGGGACCACAAGCTCGTCATAATAACCATGTCCTTGAATTCCTTTGATCATTTCCATGTGAGTGATCTGTAAATGCAATGAATAGCCAAAGAGGAATGAGAATAAAAAGGCCTCCGCCGCTGCTTTTTATAAAAAAAATAACACATATATCAGCAAAAAACAATACAAGTTCTGATAAATCCACAATAAATCGTCCCAAGGGGGCAACTCTACAATCCTCATCCAACAAAGATTGGTAAACACCCACAGGGAAAGAACAGAAGATGTCTTCAATTGTTTATTCATGATTTGTGAAACGAAAAGAAATTTTTTTGCAGATGATGAAAAATGACATTTATTTTCAATTACATAAGTCAGAGATCACAAATTTACCCGAAACTCTTTTGACAATGGATTGAGCATTGTTACAAGACAGGATTCCATCCCATGACTGTGAATAACAGCACCAGCATTACGCATATCATATGCCTGGATATCAAAAAATAAGAAATGCTACAGTCAAAGCCAAATATTATATAAGAATTTTATTGCAGCATTTGAGGGCGCCTAATATTGCCATGATAGCTGCATCAAGAATTAAAATGCAGTTTAGAGTAGTGATCTCCTTGAAATGGCAATTCCTGTGGACTCCATGCCTATTCGCTCATTTCAACAGTCATCAACAACCGAATTCTCCACAAACCGAAAGGCGGAACAACAATCATTTTTCACACAATACCAGAGATTACAAAGAAGCAAGGTAACAGGCACTGAAAGAAGTTATCTCAGTTGCCAATTAAAGGTCCATAAATGAGCCCATGTGAATGGAAAATCCGAAACATACATTACTTTCTAGATCAACATAACAGTATCAAGAGCAGGGAAAATTTTTAATATTGGGCCTCATAACAGAAAATCATAGAAAATTGAGCACAACTGGGGCATAAATGAATCACATCCAAAAACGTCAACCTGGCAAGATCAGACTATTAACCCCTTTTTTGCATCATACTGTGAATAAATTCCGGAAAATCAGACTGCCAATAGATTATACCTTCATAAACAGAGGAGCACAATCAGAACACTTGGGAGGCTTATGCGGGTATGGCTTCGGCAGAGGAGAAGACAATACAGACCCAGTTGGCGATAGCAGATACATATCGTCTGGCACCATTCTTTCCTTTTGCACACCTACCCACATACACAATACAACCAATTTTTACAACTAACAAAAACTAAATCGAATTTATAAGAGAGAAAGACCAATAAATAAAACTCGAATTTATGTACATACCAGAAGGGGACATGATGATGAGCTGTTGGGGTTTAGGGATGGAGTCATCGTGGACCTTGATGGTGATGCTACCACCTGTACCAGAAACCCATCCGAGGTTGTAGAATTGACGGCATAGCTCTGAAATCAAATTCTTCGTTTCTTTCACTCGGTTGCTCTCCATATATGCCTGTGATGTTACTGCCGTTTTCACTGCTCCGTTCACAGCAAGTGGTGCAGCTGGAACTGCCGCCATTGATGTTCTGCTCTCTCTCTCTCTCTTCTACGAATAATTGTAGAGAGAGAAATCGTACCCCGACCAAACCAAGCTGGATGATTCTCTCTGTGGTCCGAGGTATATATCTAGTTAGGAGTAAATAGTGTGTGATGTGGTGTAACCGTAATAAATAAATAAGAATAAAATGGACCTACCTTTCTGTGTTACTGTGGGTTTAATGGTCAAATTTTGGGCTAATAAATTTTACCTTTTTTTTTTCAAAAAATAAAATTAAACCTAATTATATTTTGTTAATACATTTAAGTTTTATTTTTTTATAATTTATTCACATGAAATCCTGAACTTCATCATGTTTTATTTCAAATTTACCTTGTGATAAAAATATCAAGGAAAAATTATCAATAAATTTTACTTTTCTCAACAAAAAATTATTAATTACTCCATTAACTTTGTTGTAGTTTATGAATTGAACTTTGTTATCTTCCACAAAATCTTGTAAAATTTATAACATTACAATCAAATCTTATCGATGTGTTTCCCGTAAAATTACACGTTATTGAAGGTGGTCAATAATGATTGTACGAGAGTAGGCGCAAGTCCAATTTAAAAAGGGGTTGGAATTTTTGCGACAATAATTGTGTAGATAGATTAAAATTTTGAAGTGGTTGGGATTTGGGGCCGATGATATTGGAGGTGGGTAGATCAAGTTTTTTTTTTTTCTCTCCTTTGGAGGAAGATTGGGTTTTCTCGGTGCCTATGGTATATATAAGTTGCTAAAGTGCATAATTACTATTCTAAATTGCATTGGTAATACTCTTTGGGGAAATGAGAGGCAATTGACATTAACAATAGTATAATGACATAAAACATAAGAGTGGGGATAGGGGCTCACAGTCACATATCAAAGCTTATGAGATTTGAAAGTTTGAATAGTGGTTATGGTTGATTTGATATTTTTTAGACTTTAAAGTGTTTAAAAAGTGATTACAATGGGAGCGGAGAGAGGTATGAAGGAAGTGGGTTAGTGGATGTTGACATTTAAACATAATTTATCATAAACTATTAACTACCATTATATATTACATTTAACCTTAATTAACTACCATTATCTATTACATTTAATTTCAATTAATGGGGCCAATGTTAAATTAAACCCCACTATCTCTCTTAATGTATAGCGTAACATATATATACACTAGCGGCAATCCCGTGCAATAAACGAAATTTGCACATATCCCTTTCCCTCTCCATTTTTTTTTTGAGTTGTCATTATACTACTTAAAAAGTTAGATAGAATTTTTTAAAAATTAGGATGACAAAATAATTATGAAATGTTACAGTGATAAAATTATATTTTGAAAAAATTTTAAATTATTGGTTGATTTTTTTAAAAAAATTAAATGAGTGATAATTAAGTAGTGGGGTAGTTACGTGAGACATGTGTTTGAATATAATTGGTTAAAATTATAGGTGATAATTAAATAATTAAAAATTCTAAGAAAAAATGAAAGCAGGAGAAAAGACTTCTCAAACTATCTCTCACCTAATTTGATTCTTTTATATATATAGTACTAGTATTAGCCCCATGCAGTGCACGACCAAATATAAAATTAGAATTCACTCCTTCTTGGACCCAAACCCTCCCATCTCTGATAGATTTATGCATAACAGTAGACCCTTCTTCACTTCTTATAACTGAGAGTGAGAGAGGGAAAAGGGGAGATGAGTTAGTTTGGGTGTGGTAACTTGAAAGGTGGGATAATGGATAGTGGATAAGTGCATTATCAAGTGACAGTAGTTGTGAAACCTGAACATGTAAATCATGATGTTTTATTAAAATTATGAGTTAAAGTATAATTTGTTAGTATTTGCATGGATTTAATATTGTGATAATTAAACCCTAAGTAGTTACATATACTTCTAATTAAAGAGTTTTGTTGTTGAATTACAATGAAGTAGATTGTACGAATGTGATTTTAAAACATCAAGAATTCTCGAATGGTTAAATAAGAAAATAAGCAAAAGAAGAGGGGGCCTTAGTGTAACTAAGGTAAAAGGTTGCATGGAGGGTGTGTGCTTAGATTTTTGCACAATAAATAGAAAAAAAACAGCTCTTTTCCTTGGTAAACTCGTATTTACCTCGAAAGTCAGCGATCTAGTGACCAAAGGTGGCCTAAGGAGTGGTAATGAATTGTTTTAAGGGCTGTTTGATCAATTCTGGCGAGCCGTAGATGGTTCCTTGCACAAAGAGAGAGGTTAGAAGGGCACCGAAATATTTTTCGGTGTATCTCTTCCGACGATCAAGTCAGTTTCTGTGAGAGAGGAAAAACAAAAACACTATATATATGTTGAGAATTGTATTTGCATACCATTGTATTCAGGTATTTTCCATTATTTATACGTCAAAGGGCTCATCATTGCTGACAGGTGAGGCAGTAGGTATAATACAGTTATTGGGCAGTGCACTTTCTATTTTGCATGGGGGAGTCCCTGTTATTAATTGCTCGGGCCCCCAAGTATTAAATGCTCTTTCTCCAATGTAGAGGCATTAAATGCTTGGGTTGTGAAGCATTAAATGCTCCTTCTTCTTAGCTTCCCAAGTCATCATGGATGTCTCATCCTTCTGAGGTGTTATTAATGCTTCTTCTAGGATGACTGCATGTTAGAAGGGCACTTTTGTCTTTTTGCCCTTAGTCTTGTACATTATGCCACGTGCCTCATTCTCTTTGGTTGCTGGTCTTGTCCCCTCTGTCATTCTGACTTCGTTGGAGGAGTAATCCAATGATCCCCAATCCTGCTATGAGACTGTTTGGCTATGTCAGTTAATAACCCTTATAGGAGCCAAGGCGACGTGTCTAAGACACGTCCTTAGAATCTAATCAAGTAGGGAATGCGCAGCTGGACCAGAGAACAGAAGTTGCCCATAGTACGCGAGACGTATGCCCGCACCTCGTAGGAGGTGTTCTCGGTGCCAAGGGCACGTGGCAACATCAGAGCACAAGAGGTGCCCTCAATGCCGAGGACACGTGGCAGCATTATAGCACAGGAGGTGCCGAGGAAATGTATCAGAATCCTATCCCTTCTCAGAAGTGTCCCATCAACTGCTCTCCAGCCCTTGATCTTCGTATGGCATGGGAGATGTGTCATTCGAAAGATGAAAGGGCTCGACCACCTAATTATTGTGTAGCCGCAATCCCGCCTCCAGAGGTCGTGCACATTGAATTCGCCCCTTCTTATGTTTTGAGTGCAATGATGGGGATAGGTCCCATATAAACAGGACTCAACCCTTCTTCTTTACTTTTGAAAACTCAGTCGCCTGAAGGGACGAACATCGCCTGAGTTCTTATCGGAGCTGTTGCCAACCACCTGTTTTGTTGCCATTTCTCTCGCCATTTCTCGAAGATGAAGGCCTCTGACTACTGCCTCTGCACTTTTCGACTTTGGTGAGCTCCATTTTTTTCTCTTTTAACTTCTTTTCATCCCTTTCTTTTTCTATTTTTTCGGTGATCCATCGTCTTCCACCTTCTCTCCAACCCAGTCTCAATAGGACAGTTTGGTTGCTCTCCTTCCCACACATCATTTTATCTTCAGTTGTGTCCCTTTAGGTCTGTTAATCTGAGAAAACACCCCATAAGACCTCCTCCTTCTTCTTGAGATATGCCGAGGCGCCATCCGAGTAGAGTTGTTGAGGCCGAAAAGGCTGGTCTTTCTCGGCCCAAAAAGTACACTGTCAAGGGCCAACAACAGATAGTAAACTTCAGGGCTTACTACTCTATTCCCCCCAAGGTGACTATAGACGAATTTAAGGTCAGTCGTCAAAGTGCCACTATCGACACCGAGGTCGAGATGCTATTTTACACCAAGGCCATAATTAAGGGAGGCATCAGGTTCCTTCTTCACCCCCTCCTTCTTTGTTTCTTGTCCCGGTTCTGACTCTTTCTAGGGTAGTGTTACCTTAACACGGTCAGGATCATCATGGTTGTGGTCACCTTGAAGGAGTGATTGAACCTACACCTTAGTCTAGACGACATCCACTTTTGCTATACCTTGGTGAGGGTCATGCCTCAACATATATATTACCTTAAGGCTCAAGACCCCACGATTGGAAGACGTCGGGTCTTTTTCTCATTCTTTGTTTTAGTTTCTTCACTTGTATGTCATACTTTGTAACTGACAATCGTGATGTTGTTGTATCAGGAATTCCTAACGCCGAGAAAGCCGATTTCCCTCAGAATCAAGTCAACATCGGCAACATCATTTTCGTCTGGAATTACTTGGGAAACAGGGGCTGGGTCGAGTAGTTCATCTCCTCCTTGACAACGTCCTGGGGTATAAAAAAATTCACCCAAACTCCACATATCTTTGATCTGTCGGGCGGAGGCAGAGTTTGAAGTGGAGAATTTAGAAAATGACCCTGATAGGGCCACAGAAGTCGAAGTAGAAAGGGTTGCTAAAGATGAAGCCATCGAGGAAGGAGGCGACGATGAAGTTGATGAAATCAGAGGCCTTTCAACCACTGTTGACTCCAAGGCAAGCACATCTGGGAGGGAGGCTTGGGCAAATTTTGAGGTCCTTCACAACTTAAACGTAGAAGATGTGTTTGAGGTTGCAATGTCTGACTATCACATAGATTTGAACCTCATCAAACAATGAATAGCCCTCAGAGCTACAAGGGGCCGAGGATTCAACTCCAATGAGCCTCCTCCTCCACCATCCAGAAGGACTCCTCCTATCAATGCCCCTCCACCTCCTTCGTCTTCGAGGTCAACTGGTTGTGGTCGAGGCCATGAGAGGTACCCTTAGCATGTAGAAAAGAGGAGGGCAAGCATAGGCATGACGGCATCGGATGTAGTAGGGGTACTCCCATCCTTCCTCCAACAACAATATCTTCTACATCAACAGTGCCTCGACCTCCTCCGTCGGTGCCGACAACTCAAGATGAGGAGTGGTGGCCTTGGGCTCAGGATCGTGACAATAGACCGATTTGAGTCTTTGACTATATCGTCCATTCTCCTCACATGGCCTTCGCTGTGAGTGAGACCCTCCTCTTTGGTGCCGATATGGAAGAGCACCAGGGGAGGCCAATCAACCAACTCTTTCACAACATCATCCAG